TACCAACATGTTATTAATAAATATAAAAGACGTCATAGCCACATGATGGAATTAGAGACATTTGGCCACAGTAAAAATCTGGCTTCATAGGAAATGAGAAGTTATGCCTTAAAGTACTAGTCATCTCAGGTTAAAATAGTTTAACCCTCTGCTCCCATTTTAAAGCTTTTTATAGACAAAGAAAAAACATCATGATATTTGAATTTTTAGTTACTGTATATCTTATATCATGCAAAGGATAATGTAAATGAATTTATCAAATATTATATAAAATTATATTTTTTTCTTAGGCTTCAAATTGCTTGCAAACTCCATGCCTTAAAAAAAATAATTATACTCGGCACCAAGCAAAGTGCTCGACATGTAGTATATCTATAAAAGATTGTTTATGAATTAATTAAATTAATCATTGGACACTAGTTATAATGCGTAATAATTACTAGAAAGGAATAGAATGAGACCTACACTGAATGCTTTTATCACTACTTGTGGCAAACTAGAAGGGAAAAAATTAAAATATCAAACTTATAACAGCAAGAATTTGAAAAGAAGAAAGAGCAGTATGAGCTGCAAACCACATAAAAGTGACTCTTTGAAAGAATTAAGATTTAAAAACAGAGACCCAAGAATACGTAATGAAATGGAAATGAGTTTCTTGGTTGTAATGGATAGTGTCAGAATATGTATTGAGATTTAGAGTGGCTTAATCCAAAGTAAATATAGTCACACAGTTGTTGTACTAAGAAAAAATGGATTTCTTAAAGTAAAAGACATTCCTTATAATTATGGTATTAAACTCTAATGGAGAATGAGGGCGCTGTTCCGATGCTTTTAGAACATCATATTTTTCTTGCCTATGCCAAGGACGATTACTCTCTCTCTGACTAAATCAAAAAATTCACTGCCACGCAAAGCCCTGATGTTATGTGAATAATCGTAGGTTAGACATTGAACTGTCTTCTCTGGTGTTTCAAAATAGATATAATAAGGGTGTGTTTTTCCTTGACAGTAATATATGTAATATTCTAGAGTAAAAATAATATTCAAATTATAAAAAGACTATTTAAAACATGCTTTAATATTTAAAATTAAATTATGTATTGCTAGGGCTTTTATTTTTAAATTTTCACTAAAGGTAAAGGATATACGTGCATAAATATCAATATCATGTTTCAATGGACAAAAATTCGTTTTTTTCAAGGAAAAATATTAATATGTTTTATGGATCTCAGATGCCTTATATATATATATGCTGTTTCTCCCTTTTTGTGTTCTTTTATAGTTCATATTTATGTACACAACAGTGACATTTTATTTATTGCCCTAATGAAATTTCATTTTTGTATATGTTAGGAAAAAAGTAGTTAAAAAACTGCTAAAGGTGTTTTCTTTAACATTTTGAACACTACTGTTTTTTTTTTGCCACCATACCTCACTATCTCCTCCACCTCTCTCCAACCATAACAAAATGGCCTGAAAGCTTTTAGTTAGAAACCAATCTTGCCCCCACCTGCCTCAGTTGTATGGAAAAAATATTCCCTATCTTGAACACCTAGAATGGGGAAAGTACATGCCTGCTTTGAAAGAGATTAGCTTCTAGTTCTAGAAATTTCATTTCAATTTAGCAGTTAGCTTGAGGTCTTATGGAATGGGAAAGAGTACTTCAAAATCTTAACCAAAAAGGCCACTGAAATAAAACCAGCTAAATCTTTAGAAATAACCAATTCAAAACCAAGAATGTGACTTAAGAATGAAAATTTACTGCAGTAGCTTACAGAATTACAACCAATTCAGAATGCTTTCAAAATACATTAGGAAATGTATGCATTCAATTAAAATAAAACCTGGCAGGAGGTGGACTAAGACACTTTTGCAATTTCTAGTAGGATAAGAAAAAAGTTGTGTTGGGGTTGGATCCTCAAATTCTATAACCAATAGAGCAAGACTTTCACATCTGTCATCTGTAAGTGTGATATTGTGATACAATAAAAAATACATATTTTGGTCTTTATCCTTGGCTCTTGGTCAGAGTTCCTAAACCCTTAGTAATTTCCTAAATGATAGAGTTGTTAGGAGCATCTTTTGTTCTAATATTTGGTCTTTGATCCTGGTTCCTAGCACAGAGCTCCCAAATCCCTTGGAATTTCCTGTGTGATAGGAACATCTTTTGGTGGGCTCCAGGATAGCTTCAAAACAGGACCTGATCACCAGAAAGACCAAGCCATGATTAGAAGCTTGGAAATTTCAGCCCCACCCTCCATCCTCCAGGGCGGGGAGAAGGGCTGGAGATTGGGTTAATAATTGATCATACCTATGTGATGAAGCCTCCACAAACATCCCTTAATTACAGGGTTTGGAGAACTTCTGGGTTAGTGAACACATCCATGTGCCAGGAGGGTGGCGGATCCCAACTCCACAGGGACAGACGCTCCTGTGCTTGGGACCCTCTTGACCTCACCCTATGTGTCATCTCCTCTGTTATATAACGAAGCAGTGTGTAAGTAAGTGTTTGAGTTCTGTGAGCCATTCTAGCAAATGTTCTACCTGATCTATCAAACCCAAGGAGGGTACATCCAGACAATGGAATATTATTCAACATTAAAAATAAATGAGCCATCAAGCTATGAAAATATATGTGGGAAACAAATGCATATTATTAAGTGAAAGAAGCCAATCTGAAAAGGATACGTATTGTATGATTCTAACTATATGAGATTCTGGAAAAGGCAAAATTATGGAGATTGTAAAAAGACCACTAGTTGCCAGGAGTTGAGGGTGAGGAGAAGAAAGTTTACACTAAGAGAGAACCCTAGTGTAAACTATGGACTTTGTGCGATTATGATATGTCAATGTAGGTTCATCGTTTAGAACATAACAGAGTTTTATGACAAGTTATCATTAACCTTAATCATTCTCTCCTTGTTAACCTTTAATAGTCATCTATAAATGTTATTTATAACGTTTTATAAAGAATATTTATTACTTGCATTAATCATGGATTTTGTGGCAGACAGTGTTCGCTGTCCACACAATACCTGTTGCTCTTCTCTTTTGCAAGAGAACCCTGACTTAGTTTGGAATGGTTATTGATCCAGCCCCAATCCTGCTCACTTTGCTGGATGTTGGATTTCCATCCTCTTTTGCAACTAAGGATAGTCATATGATTCAATTCTGGCCAATAAGAATGAAGCAGAAAGACTGCTTGGCAGAGGAGAGAGACAGTGTTCTGGGAAAGTTTACTTTTAAAGAAGCTAGCAAATATCTGCCTCCTGATGGGAGACTACATCACCACCAGTCAAGTAATCTTGCCAAACAATGTTGAATGTGAATCTGAATCTGATCAAGCCTCTGCATCTAACTATCAGTTTATAGCAAATATAGAAGAAAGAGGAACATGTTAAACGACGTCAGAGGAATGAAATTAGCAAAACCCAGACCATGGGAAATCGCAGGAAAAAACAGCCTTCTTTCTTCAACAAAGGCATTGCAGAGAAAAAGAAAACAGATATAATCTATAGATTTAAAAAAAGATTTAAGAGCCACATCAATCATTTGCAGGGGATCTTGATTCAAAAGAAACTATAAAAAAAAGTATGACATTTATGAGAATATCAGATATTTGATGATAGTGTTAAATTTTTCAGACATGTAACAGTGTTGTGTTTATGTCCAAATAAAGTAATCTTTTCATTTAGAGAAACATACTGAAATGTCCGCAAATGAAATGATGATGACTGGGACTGGCTTTGAAATATCTCTGGAGTGGGAGAAATGGGTGAGAATATAGATGAACAAGGTCAGCTATTAATTGATCATTATTGGAGTTATTTGATGGGTATATGGAGTTACTTACACGTAATTTTCTACTTTGGTGAATGTTTGAAATTTTCGACAATAAAATGTTTTCAAAGTATAAAATGGGGATATACTAAGTTGATACTTTCCTTTCTCCCTCCTTTACTTGACTTGGAAATGGATGTGGTGCTGGAACTGTAGCAGCTTTCCTGTTACCAGGAACCCTAAAAGCATGAAGATGAGAACGGTGAAGCAGAAACATGCTTAACCCTGTGTCTTTGAAGACATTAAAGAGCTCCATCCAGACTTCTTACATGAGAACAAATTTGTATTTCTTTAAACTATTGACAGAGTTGTCTGTTGCTTGTTGTTGAAAGTATCCCTAACTGATACAATGACTGTGCAAGAAATTTGACTTTCTGGGGGAAAAAAAACACTAAAAAATTGAAAGCAATGAAATAGACTCATCCAGAAGGACAAGATGAATTCTTCCTTTGCGCAACTTCTCTTCCTGGATAATCTACTAAAACTTTGGGATTTACAACTTAATTAAAATACAAAATTAATGTTTTGCATTAAATTCGGTTAGATCACAGTTACAGTTCTAGTCGTGTCAAAGTAGCTTGAATTGAACTAAACCCCCCAATGATGTTATTGTAAAAAAGGGACAAAAAAGAAAAAACACCTGTTGTAGGCCCTAGTGAACTATTATGACACACAAGAACTGGATGGACTACAGGCCCTTAAAGGTAGGGAGGCACAAGATAGAAGCTCCACATTTATGCATCTTTTCCCGAAAGGTGTTTTCCAGCTCGATGTAGCAGAAGGAAATGGGATCCAAGCTGAAAATGGCAGTCTGATTGGACCAAGGAGACATAAGTTAGAGGTGGGACTGGTCAGAGTGGCTGGGTATTGAGGGGCAATGGAAAGGACAGAACTGGTTTGGTGAGAGCCCAAATATATCTGCAAAGAAATTCCCTTCAAGCTAAGGGCAAACTCTTAAGATGTGCATATATGCAGAGGGAGAATCCAAGAAACCCACTGGAAAACAGATTTGGAAGGATAAACAGCTGAGCAGAGATTTTTGACAGCTGCCTGGTGCTTGGGAGTGAGAAACTGAGTTTGTCTAACTTGATGCATTTCTTAGTCTGCTCAGGCTACCATAACATAATACCATCGACTGAGTGGCTTCAACCACAAATTTATTTTCTCACAGATCTGGAGGCTGGAAGTCCATGATCAGGGTGCTAGTAGGATCCATTTGTGGTGAGGCTTGTCCTCCTGGCTTGCAGACAGCTGCCTTCTCCCTATGTTCTCACGTGGCAGACAGAGGGAGCACGCTCCCTGGTGTCTCTTCTTACAAGGGCACTATCCTATCATGAGGGCCCCACTCCCATGACCTTCCTAAATCTAATTATTTCCTAAAGGTCTTGTCTCCACCATCACATTGGGGGTTAGGGCTTCAATATATGAATTTGGAGAGAGCACACTCCAGTCCATAGCAATGGGTATTAGTTTCCTATTGCTATTGCAATACATTACTACAAATGCAGAGGCTTTAAACAACACAAATTCATTGTCTTACAGTTCTGGGGGTTGGAAGTCTAAAATGGGTCTCACTGAGCTAAAACCAAGTAGTCAGAAGGGTAGCATTCTTTCCCAAAGGTTCTAGGGGAGAATTCATCATCTTGTATTTTTCAGCTTCCAGAAGCTGCCTGTGTTCCTTGGCTTATGACCCCCTTCCATCTTCAAAGTCATCAATGGCTGTTCAAGTCTTTCTCATGCTCCCATTTCTCTCTTCTACATCTCTCTGCCACTAAGAAGAACCCCTGTGATTTCACTGGACCCACCCAGATAATCCAGAACACTCTCCTCATCTCAAGGTCAGCTGATTGGCATCCTTAATTCCACCTGCAAACCTAATTTTCCTTTGTAATGTAACCTAATGCATTCACATTCCTGGGGATTAGAACATGGATATATTTGGTAGGAATTATTCTACCTGCCACAATAGGCTTGGTAAACAACTAAAGTTTTCTCTTGAGAATTCAAAGGGTCACGCCCTAGGAAAACGCCAACACTGAGATAGTCCATGCCTACCAAAACCTAAAACGACCCTTCACCAGGCCCAAGCCGTTCCACTAGACCTCTATCTATCCTTCAACAGAAAACTAAGCATTTTTGAAGGAACCACTATATTGTTACCCATTATTAGTGTTGAGGATCTAATCAAAAATATGAAAGATGCTAAAATACAGAACAAAAAGCTGGAGATAAAAGAAAATAGAAGTAATAGAAACAGATCCATAGATGATTCAGATATTGCAGTTTTCAGACAGAATATTTAAAATAATTAGGGTTAACATGCCAAGAAAATAGAGAAAAAGATGGAGAATTGCATGAGAGACTCCAAATTCATCAAAATTATCAAATATAAATTTGAAAACTGATAAATACAAGACTGAAGCAAACAATTTACTAGATGGCTTTAATAAAAGATCATAAACAGCAGGGCAAAGGACTAATGGACTAGATGACATGTCTTAGAAAGGATACAGATTTATGCATGCAGTAAAAGAACATGAGACATCTGGGACAAAAAAAAAATTGTCTAACATATTTGTATTAAGAGTTCTACTATGAGAGGATGAAAAGAAGTAATATTTGAATTAGGAAAAACAACAAATCAAGCCCATAGAAAGTAGGAAGAAAACAATAAAATACAAGAGCAAAAATCTAAGGAGTACAAAGCAGCACACAGTAGCAAAACAAAAGGTTTTTGAAAGATCAATAAATTTGTAAAATCTCTAACAAGACTGATCAAGAAAAAGAAAACACAAATTAACCATACCACATACATTTCCAGAGCAAATTATGACTTTATTTTATTTTATTGGTTGACTATTGTAAAATAAAACATCCTAAAACTCAGTGGCTTAAAACCATAATCCTTTCTCATAACCCTTCCCCAGTGTCTCATATGGCTGGGGGTCTGCTGGATTTCAGCTGATTGCTCTATGCCCAGCTTGAAGGCCAGGACAAGCATAGGTACAGAGGAGCAGAGGAAGGAAGAAGTGGGGACACAATTCAATCTACCACAATTGTCTACAACTTTATGCCAATGAATTTTAGGATATACAAGAAGTAGACAATTCACTTGAGAAACACGATAAAACTGAAATGAGAAGAAATAATAAATACGAATATCCCTATACTATTAAAGAAATTGAATGCGAAATTAATAATTTTTTTCACAAAACAGTTCCTGGTAAGGATGGCTTCACTGGCAAATTTTTTCAAACATTTAAGGAAGGAATAACACAAAGTTATATAAACTCTTCCAGAAAATAGAATAAGGCATAAGACTGCCCAGTCCATTTCTGAGGTTCACATGAACTTGATAGTAAAATTGACAAGGACATTATAAGAAAAATTGTAGGCTAGTATTTCTCATGAACATAGGAAAAATTCTAAACAAAATTATACTAAATCAAATTTAATACTATACATGGGGGTAGCATATCATAATCAATTTGGTTTCTATCAGAAAACCTTGCAAAGATGAGTTTAATATTCAAAACTCAATAAATGTTGGTCACTACATTAACACACTAAAGAAAAATACCAGATGGTTCTCAGAAGAGATTCGTGTTAAAAATCAGCAAACTTGAAATAGAAGGGAACTTCCTTAATCAGGTAAATTGTGTCTACCAAACACCTTCAGCTAATACTGCGTTCAGTGTGGAAACAGTAAACTCATTCCCCTTGAACTTGCAACCAAGTTGAAGATGCTCATTAGCTCTTCTATCTGATGTTGTCCTAAAGGCCCCTGGCACAGTAATAAAGAAAAAGCAATGACGTGTTAAAAGATGAGATAAGAAAAAATAAATTCACCAGTATTTATCAATGACAATTGGAAGCACCAATATTACTTATAAGCATAAATGAAATGCAATTCATATTATTATTATTATTTTGTGTGTGGGAAATACAGCCTTGACAAAATAATACCAAAATCTATCTTGAGGGTAAAGAAAAAGTGGGCATTGACAGAAGACATCAGCCTTGGAGTAGGGGAAGAGAAAGAAAAATTAGTGGTGACTAGGTCTAACATATTAATATATGTTTTCAAGGAATAATAATTGAAACAGTTCATAATTTATAACATGGAAATATATCACGGATATATTATTAAATTTTTTAAAGTATTGATGCTTTTATTTTTAAAAGTTGTAGTTTTTGCCAGTCTAAGCACACCCACATGTGTATTAACTATGTTTTTTTAATAATAAAAAAATTGCTTATAGAGTTACTTTTGGGAGGCAAGAATGGACATGGATAGGGAGTTTCTATTTCTTATTTTGCACTTTACTGTTAAAGGTTTGCATTTTTCTAACCACGTACATAATTTACTTATTTCATCGTTACTATTAAGAAAGGTGCTTGTGGGGCTGGCCTGGTTGCATAGTGGTTAAGTTCACACCCTCTGCTTCAGTGGCCCAGGGTTTGCAAGTTCTGATCCTGGGTGTGGACCTACACAGCGTTCATCAAGCCATGCTGTGGTGATGTCCCACATATAGAATAGAGGAAGTTTGCCACAGATGTTAGCTCAGGGCCAATCTTCCTCACCAAAACAAAAAAAAACCCACCTCTGGGATTGCTTTGAGGACTATCATCCACCTCCCTGGTTGACCATGAAGATTAAATGAAATCATATATGCAAAAGTATTAAAAAGAAAGATGTTTGTTTAGTGAAATTATAAAGTATTATTTTCTTTCGTTCTGTATATATATCTATAAAAAACTAACATTTTATAATAAAAGGAAGGGGACTGAAGAGCTGATCTGGAATATCTTTAAGTGACATCGCTGTTTAGACAGTCTATAATGCTGGGGCTGCAGTGGTGGGATGTTAAAGATATAGATACGTGCGTAAAATAGATTTATATACATATATATATATATATATATATGACATTAAGTGAATGAAATCAATGGTTTCTTGTTTTGTTTTGATTTTCAGTTTCCATTAAAGGAATTTTACTCAAGGGGTCTGTTACCCCTGAGTCCTTTGAAAGCTCTTTCAGAAACCCTGTGTTTTGCTCCAGGCCTGTCAGCCAGAGCTACGAGTCCTCTACACCCAGTGTAAATGTTCTTTTCTGACTAGTGTATAATTGGCAAACTTTTTGAGAATTTTTTACCAAAAATATTAAATTACTTCATCATTGGAAGGCCCTTGTGTACTTTCATATTCCAGCAAATAGTCTGGTAACCTGACAGGAGCAGGAAATGAATTAAAATCATAAAATGTAATAAACATTTGAAACGAGTTCACATCTCTGTGCTCAGCGTGTGGTAGCACGGAGCACTGGCAGCTCACGCCAGAAGTTACACGATTCCACCGACCTCCTGGCTACCAGGCAGGAAAGTTGCTGGAATGAGAGACATCATGGAGTTCAAAACAAGAGCCTTTGCAGATGGATAACCAAAAAATGCTGGGAAGCATGCAAAGAATGCAACCCTTTAGCTAAATTACCTATTTGGAAATTACTCACCCAGGAGCTCCATCCTGCTGGAAACTCTTGGTCAATCTGTGAGGAAATTAGCAGTTAAAAAAAAAATTCTCCAGCCTGAACATTTTTTATTTTGAAAGTTTTATAGTCATGAGACTAGGGGGAAAAGGTGAAGTGATCCTTCAAGAATCGTAATGAATTTGACTTTGCTTCTTTGTTTGCTTTTTGAAAAATTTTAACTACTATTTTTAATGGCTTTCAGAAAACACCAGCTGAGTCAGAGGCAGCCTGATTCAACCCAAGGTTGGCTGCCAGGTTAGGGATAGAGGCATTCACTCTAGCTCGTATGTCGTTTATAAAGAAAAAATATGTCTGTCCTATTTAAAAGGGAAGCAGAGAGAACAGTCAAAGCCGAACAGGTAGTCCCTGTATTCCAAGGCAAGTTCTTCAAAATATGTATGAGCCACGATTTGAAACTCGAATCGGTATTTCTCACAGAAAGAATGCGAAATGGCGTGAAGGTTCGCGGAAGGAATGGCGCTATCCTATAACGAGTACATATTTTATATTTTAACATTTGGGAGATGTATCCCGGGAATCTTAGTCAACACCCTTCTGTGCAAGTAACAGAAACCAGCTAGCTAGCTGACTATGAAATGGGAACTCATTAAAAGGAAACAGGGTTATCTCTTAGAAGTCAGGAATGTCGACAGGCTGCGTGGGAACTAGGACCAGGAACTAATTGTAAAACTGTCACTGCCATACCTCTGTCTCTTATCTCTGCCTCCTAGATCAAGCAGACAGACTTTGGCTGCCTCCTCCATATATGGCAGGCAGTGCATGGCCAACCAATAGCTTCTGAAGCTCATCTCCTTTCTCTGAAGAGTCCCTATTGGACTGACCAGATTCGGTCTCAGTTCTAATTCCAAGTACTCATTGAACTGGCCTAGTTTGGGTCAGATGCCCATCCAAAGTCAAGTTGGCTACCAGGATATCAATCCAGTGGTAAGGATGCAGTTCTTAGAGAAAGAAGTAGTCTTGGGCTGTGCAGAAATCCAAAATGAGTTGTAACTCATGGCATTGGAAGATGACACCAATGGTACAGTGGGTGTTGGTGGTGGTGACATGGACGGATGTACTCCATATGGCTCAGGATAGGAGTGTGTAGCTACAGCAATACCTTGTTAACTCTTCCAGTTTACATAAGAGAAGATACCTCCCCTCACTTGGAGCCCTGCAGGTCAGCCCAAGTGTGTCAAGAAATAAGGGCGCTCGGGGTGGGAGGAAACAAGGAGATGTTGGTCGGAGGGTACAAAGTTTCAGTCAGGCAGGATAATAAATTTGGGAGATCTAATGTACAGCATAGTGACTATAGTTAATAATACAGTATTGTGCAAATGAAATTGGCTAAAAGATTAGATCTTAAGCGTTCTCACCACAAAGGAAAAAAATGGTAACTCTGTGAGGTGATGGATATGTTCATTAGCTTGACTGCAATAACCAGTTTATAATATGCATATCAAATCATCACCCCGTACCAATTGCACCAATAAAAATTTGTCAATCATACCCCAACAAAGCTTGAAAAAGAAAAGAATAAAGGACAGTTGCCCCATTGTCATGGGAAAATTGAAATAGTTTCTTGTGTCATTTCTCTTGCTTGTGTAAGGTACAGACAGGCTCTTGTGTGGTTGGGGTCTGCTAGGCCTTTCACAAAATTCCTTTGTACATTTTCAAACTTTATTGAAATATATGAGTTCATTCGATCTTTACATCCATCTTACAATTCCAGTGATGTTTCTCCTCATTTTATAGGATATGAAACTGAGTCAGAGTCAACAAACTGAGGTTGAGAAAACCTGAAGATAGATTCATGAAAATTTGTACAACTTCTGGGAAATCTCATGGATTCTGAACTATTTCCTTGAATGGAATGATTGTTTTTTAAAACACCAAAGTGATATGAAGATGTCTATTGTAAGTAAAGTTCATGTATTTTGACAGATATCTGGATTAACGTTTCGTGCATATGTTTTTTGGAAAGAATTGTTGGGTCATGGGTTAGGCATATGTTTGTCTTTACTAAATACTACTGGTTTTTCAATTTATACTCCTACTTGTAACGTATGATTTCTGGTTGTTTCACATCCTCACCAAAACTTGACATTGTCACTCTTTTTCATCTTAGGCATTACTGTCAGTGTGAAAAGTTATCTCACAGTAATTTTAATTTGCACTTTCCTAGTGACTAATGATGTTGAGCATCTTTGCTTTTTGGCCAATTAGGGGTCCTTTGAAGTGCCAGTTCAAGTGTTTTGCCAATGTCTTTTAATCGGGTGGGTTGTTATTTTCTCATTCATTTGTAACAGTTATTTATGTAGTGCAGATATGAACACTTTGTCAGATATACGTATAACAAATATCTGTTAGAAAGTAGCTTGCCTTTTTACTTTCTTAATGGTGTTTTTGATGAGGAGAAGTTCTTAAAATTGGTGAAGTCTAATGTACCAATCTTTTCTTTCATGGTTAGTACTGTTGGTGTTCTGGCTATAAAATGTGTTTGCCTGCATCGAGATCAGGAATATAGCCTTCACTGTTTTTCTCCAGAAGTTGGATAGTTTTACCTTCCACATTTAGGTCTACAATCCATCTAGAACTAATACTTACATAGGATGTGAGGTAGGAGTCAAGATGGCTATTCTCTTGATCAAGAATCATCAGGAGGTCTGAGTGGAAAGAGCCAGAGTTCTTTGTAGCTCTGAGAGTGTCTCTATCAGGCTAATGGCAGCACCAGAGCAAAGATCACCTGCAAAGCAGTCCTCTGTTGAACAGGAATGTCCAACCAGTACTCCTGCCATGCTCAGTCATTGGCTGAGAGCATCCTAGAGAGACCATGGCAGTGGGATAAACACTGCAGCAGATCCTAAGTGTGTGGCTGCTGGAGGTGGTCTGGTAACTACATCTCTCACAGCGAGTTTTCTCTTGAAAGGAGATCTGAGTATTACACTTCCATGGCCGCCATGGTGCTGAGAATTCTCAATCTTTTTCTCTATAATTTTGAACATATTAATCACAGTTTGGTTATTTTTTTTAAGAGTTTCCACCTGGTAGCTCCAATATCTGAATCACTTGTGTGCCTGTTTCTAGTGTCTATTGTTTCTCTTGGTTCTGATCAAATGCCTTTTAAATCAAGACTCATTTTTCTTTATTTAATAATGGATGTGGTATTAAAAAAATCATCTCCATTCAAAAGAGGCGGGCAGATGCAGTGCCATTGGCCATTCTGTTACAGCCCGGCTTTTAGTTGTAATTAGGACTGGTCTATTTCAGAATTGTTTTTACTCCTAGGTCATATCTTTTACTCATAAACCCTTGTTCTTATTCCTTAGGTGTAGGCCTTCCTTCTATGGCAAGAGCCTTCTGGAGCCTTAGAGAAAAGCCCTTAGAGTTTATAAAGGTTTCTATAACTTAGAAAATCTTAAAACTCCATTCTCAGTCTCCCCAGCATAGGTGACTACTGAAATCTCTCATCATTTTAGCCTCCTAGCTGCTGTTTCCTTCTATACATTTTGGACCTTTTACATGCATAGCTTAGGAGTCAGCCAACAATTTGAGATGGCCACCTTCTCTGTAATTCTCTTCCCTAGGAATGTTGGTCTTCAATTTCTCACAGCCAAGTAAAATTGGTTGCTTTATGCTTGAGCTCAATTCCCTTAACCTGCAGCTAACCAAAATCTTATTTCTGAAAATGTATTTTTAAAAAGAAAGCCCCCTGCCTGGTTTGTAGGAAAAGTGAAGTTTGAGAACCACAGGCCTAGAATCTAGACCCAGATGATCTCATGGGATGCCATCCCAGCTGTATATTAATGTTCTCATCTCTACCAGTGAGTAAGGCAACAGTGGGTTGCCTGTGGTGAATGTTGTAACATGCATGTTAAGTAGACTCTTTTATTCCACACTCTAATTCATGGGCTTAGCCCATATGATTAAGGTTTCATGCTTACCTGTCATTTCCCCCACAAAGCTCTGCTCTGAATTTCAGCCTGTATGGAGGCCTAGGGCCCTACCAAACCGATTAGCCAATATCAACTCCATTTGCTTGGAAATCTTAATGAGGTTCCTTTGATAAGGACCATCCAACATTCTGGAACCAGAATCCTCTACTTTACTCACGAGAAGGGATCCAACTGCCCAGAAACATTCCTTCTGTATTCCTTCAGGTACCAACAGAAATCTGGACGACACTTGAGTATATGACCACATGAGGAATGAATTTGACTATTGACCGTCCTGCTCCATAGCCAGGTCCCTCCTCCATCTAAGGCCCTGGAGCTTTCTGTTTTATCCAGAAACATTTGTCTCCATTGTAGTTTCAACATACCATGCTACAAATTGATATGTATTTTGTCAGAAAGAAGTATAAAGGAATAGAAGTTCTGAATCTGAAGAAACTTTATTGAATCCTCTCATTTTATATATAAGAAATCTACATGGTTAGTAACTGACAGGTTCAGAGCTAGAACCAGAGCTTCTATTTAGGTACAAGGGAGTCCCTCCCACCGTCTATATGTTCTATTATCTGGGAAGCTGACTATCTCCATAGCAGTGACTGGTCATGCAAACTGTCATCTGAGGGCTGAAGGATGACGGGAACATTGTAAAAGCATAACCCAAATTCTTCCAGATTATGCCTTTAGGAAAAAATGTTAAGACAGTGAAGACACAGGGTGATAAAGCAAAATGAAAATGTAAATATGCTCGAGTCAAGTGTTTGTAAAATCTATGCCTCAGGGGCTACAGCGGGTGAGGCAGGGGAAATGCAGACTCCGTGGGGGGTTCCATTTCCTGCCACCTGCTTCAACTGTAGCAGCTATCCATCGTTTATTACATTATGGAATTATTTATATCTACAAATGGTAGAAAATAATAAAAGCCTACATATTCAATGCCTACCTTAAAAATAGAACTGAAGCCCCTGTATAATGCTCCCTGATCTCATTCCTCTTTCTCCATCCTGATAAAACTCCTATCCTCAATTTGGTGTCTCCATTCCCATTCATTGCTTCTAGTTTATATACACACATATACTACACACACAGACGTGCACGCACACACATATATTTCAAAGCAATATATCATATCGTTTGGGATGTATATAAATGGCATTATAGTGAATCTATGTTTCTGCAGATTTTTTCCCCTTCAAAATTAAATCTGTAAGATTCATCTGTGTGATATGTGTAGCTTTTTGGGTTCAATTTTGTTTCTTTATAATATTCTATTTTATGAAGATACCTCACTTGATTCATTCTCATATTGATGGATGTTTGGGTTAATCCACTTTTTGTTATTGCAGAAAATACTGTTGGGAACTTTCACATGTGTGTTTCCATGGGGTGTTCTGCAAGAGTGGCTTTAGTGTATCGCAGGAAGTCACATTACACAAGTATCTTCATATTCGCTAGATCACAACAAACTGTCTTACAAAGTCACTGTATTGATGCATTCGTTCCACTGGCAGTGCATAATCAAGAATTTCCTTTACTCCAAATCTTTTCAAAGATTTAATAATATTACGAGTTTTATTTCTTATCAATTGGATGGATGTGAAACAGAATCCTCTCGTCGTTTTAATTCAAATTTCCCTGATTACTAGTGAGGTTTGAGAATCTTTTCATGTAATTATTAGCCATTTAGGTTTACCTTCTCTGAATTGCCTGATTCCATTTTTCCCATTTTCTATGGGATTGGTTGTCTTATACTTACTGATTTGTAAAATTTGTGTTCTTTATACCTTTATACTGAAGATAGATGTACATTTTTAACTTCAAAGGAATACAGTTTGAAAGGTTTTGAAGGCAACAAAATATTTGATGTTGACTCATAAAAACCAAACACCTTCACCTTACACAAGGAGATACTTAATAAACAAATTATTTTCACAAGGATAGCTAGACAGTCAGTGGCAGCCAGGTATAGAAACTGTATCTCTTATACCTTACCCAGGGCTTTCCCAATTCTATCCAGCCAAGTTATCAAGAATCTATTCAGGCCAAGTACAATTCTAACCACTGAGGATGTCAACATGAACACCACAGGCAGCCCTCATCAAGTGACACTTTCCCGCCATACTGAACATCCTAAGGGGCAGACAGCATCAGCTACTTGAGCTTGTATCATATACAGTGTCGTCCACCTCCTTGAGCTTCTGAGAATGCTCCATCTGTCTTAAACAAACCCTCTTTTCCATTTTTCTGCCACATTTATTCTTACTCTTCTTTCAAGATTCAACCTAATCATATCTTCATCCATGAAGTTTTCCCGTAACTATCTTAGGAAGCATTAGGCATTTCCTCCAGCAGAGTGTCCTTACCGTCTTTATTTTCAGATTTGTCTTCCTCCAAATGCTGTGATACTGGAGGACAGGATCCACATGGTTTGTATTCCCGAGAACCAGACACATGATAGGTCTGTAGCAATGGTTTGTTGAATGAATGAACAATTGGTAGAATAAAAAGAATGAAAACAACTATATATTCCAATATGATAAATGGGATCAGTGTGCTACAAGTCACAATGCATATCCACCGTATGTAGGTACAAGGTTACTCATAAAATGGTTTATTCTAACTTCAGAGGCTTTTAAATCTTTTTCCCTCCCTGGGGCTGTCATCTTTTAATATGTTTGAGACAGCTTTCTAACGACTATGATCTATGACTATTTGACTTATTGCCACAAATATAATTTGGGAAATGTTTAGCTGTGAAAGACATGGAACTACTTAAAACTTGCTGTAAATTTTAGAACTTAGCCTAATTTGATCAGAGGTCCTTTTGAGATGCACGCTCAGCAAAAATGTTAAAGATGACCCTACTCCAGCTGAATCCATTTTCTTTTGAAACTGCTTTTGCCAGATGTCTGAAATGGTAAGGATAAAGTGAAATTCATCACCTACTTTTTAACAGCCACACTGGGTGAGAAAGTGACAAATAGACCCCCAAAAAGATTGTGACAGTTTTTAAATAGAATAACCTTTTTAGATTGCTTTCCTGCTTGGGAGTCATCGAGAACATCCTGCTACAATTTACTATGAAATCAGGAGTCCCTCAATAACTTCAAGGCCAAATTCACTTTAATTCACTCATTGCTTTTATTGCATGTAGTTTAATGCTGCTAAGCATTTTAAGTAGTTTGGGAATTACAAGTATTTCCACCAGAATATATTAACTAGAAATAATTTTCCCTCACTCTTTTCCTTCTCGAATTGCAGACATCACTTAAACACCTCACTAAAATTAAAACTATTGACGCAAATACCTTGTGCATCTAAGTGTGAGTCAGAACGGCCAAGTATACGAAGCTGCTTCCTGCCTGCCAGTTTAGCCCCTTTGGCTGTTCAGTGAATAAAACAAACTCCATGGCGAGCAGCATGTTATATATTGTTCTCTGCTGTATCCTTGGGTCCCGGAACAGAGACTGGACTTACCTGTATTATTGAATGAGGCAGGGAATACTACGAAACACAGTTGAGATGAAGAAAACAAAAGTTCAGAGAAATTAAACAATATTTTCAAGGTCAAGTCCTCATGGCCACCCAGGAGTCTGTCTGGAGATAGTTGTTCTCAACTACTATATTCTCCTTGAACAATAAAATTTGTTTTGTTTAACCAAAGCCTGCTTCTGACAATCTTGCGGTCTTTCAGATTCCCTTTCATAGCTACTTCGGGATACATGTTCTAACCTAGAGTAATCTGAGAAGTTTTATTTTAAAGGAATATCCTTTTTGTACTTCCTAAGTTATTTCTCATCACTAGCACAGAAAGAGGTGACTGGTATTTATCCAGGATAAAGTGTCCACAAGTTATAATTAGTGTAGTAACTACTTGTAGCACCCACTGGACACCGTGGTACCCAGAAAAGATGAGGATTAACTCCTTCAGATCACATCACTCCTTGTCTGCTGCATGATCATGCTGGGGTTTCCCCCAGATGGGCCCCATCTTCACCCTCACTGATCCTCTTGTAAATGCTTGGGTTTTTTGTTCTTTTCTAATAATTCTGATCACACTCATGCATTCCGCATTGTCCTAATTGAGAACCATGCATTGTGAAATATTTGGGAGTTAATAATTAAAATTCAAATGAGCAAATCACAGAATTTTCTACTTGCAAAGGAGGGGAGATATATATATATAGAGAGAGAGAGAGAGAGACTAGCCCTGTAATTTTACTCACCTAGAAACAGAAGCTTGAGGAGACAGTAATCCAATCAAGGCTAAAAGGTATATTAAGGGTATTAAACCGCGCATTAGGAGTTAATAAGAGCTATGGAAAGAAATAAGCTGAGGGAGGAGTGGTAGGTGGTAGTATTTAATAGAAAAGATTCACTGAGAAGACAAGATTTGAGCAGAGACTTGGAAATGAGACAGTTATCCTGGGGTGATGGGGTCAAGCAATGCAGGCAGAGCCAACAGGGCAAAGACGCTCAGGCAGGAGCACACGTGTGCCTTTTAGGAACAGCAAGGAGGCCTGCGTGGCCAAAGTAGAGGGAGCAAGACAAAGAGCAGGTCAGAGAGGTGGGTGTGGGTGGTGAAGAGGATGTCCTAGAGTCAGGTAAGCAACGTTGAGGACACCGGCTTTTACGCTGAGTGAAACAGAGAACTCCTGCAGGATGCGGAACTGAGGGCAGGCATGATCCCATACACTCTGAGGGCCTAGTAGGTGATATTTTAATATTTCCCACTTACTGGGCCACAAAGCAAAATTCAATACATTTGTAAGGACAGATATAAGCCAGACTCATGGATCAAAGAAGAAATCATAACAACACCAAGAACTGAGTCAAAATGAAAATGAACACATAGCAAACCCTGAGGGATGCACAAAAAGCAGCCCCCAGTATTTTTAATGTGTTGCCCTAAACAGATCAGAAAAGAAAAAACCCTGAAAACAAATGAGCTAAGTGTTCAACTTAAGTAGTTGGAAAAAGAACAGAGTATATTTAAAGAAATGGAAAGAAAGTATATAATAAAAAAGTGAAATCAATAAATTAGAAAATGAAGATCTAGTCAGATCGCTAAAACCAAAAGATGATCCTTTTAATAGACTAACAATAACGAAACTTCTGGCAAAACTGATCAAGAGAAAAGAAAGAAGTTACACGTATATAATATAAAAGGAACCCAGGAGAGAACTATGGATAAAGTTGACGTATAAACTATAAGAGAATATCAACAATTTTTTAACCAACAGATATCAAAACACAAAGTTCCAGAAAACACTTCTTTCCAAAGCTAGTCCAGTAAGAAATAGAAAGCTTAAATAATTTTATAAATATTAAAGTAATTGAAACAATAGTATGGTCTTTTGCAATAAATCTACAGGTATTTTCTAATAAAAGCTGTAGTTTTAGGTCATTCCTTCCCCATCTCTTCAGGATAACTTTGATTCTAGAGCCAGAAAAGGCAGTTTGGGAAGAGGAAATTACCAACCCATATAACTCTTGGATACGGATATAAAATTCCTAAACAAAATATTAGCAAATCAAATCAAACAATGTATAAACAATATGACACTCACAACCAAATTAGATATGATTCAGAAAAGCAAGAACAGTTTAATTTTAGAAAATCTAAAAATTCCATTCACTGCATTAATAAATCACAAGATAAAATCTCTGTTTACACGTCAATCACTACAGAAAAAGCATTTGATAAAGGTCAACATAAAAACACGACAAGAACTCTTTGTAAATTAAGAATAAAAGGGAATTTCATTTGATAAAGGTTATCTACAAATTACCTACCAGAAGCAGCATCTTAATTGGGGAAACTCGAGAAGCGTTACCTTTAAAATCCATGTAATGAAAATGTCCTGAATCAAGGATTTTGTGCACCTGAACTAAAGCAAAAACAATTCCCCAAAGGAGCTTTCCTAGCGCTGAGAACTCAGCGCACCTGATGGTTGGCGGGCTTGAAATTGGAAACAACCGATGCCAGTATGTTACAAAGTAACTATCTTGTTTTCAATTTGGTAAACATCTCTACATTGCAGCTGCCTTTCTAAAGCAGTCCCACCTCTTTCTGTATTCTCTCAGTGCTGTCATTTCAAACCAACGCAATGATTAGATGTGGTTTGCTCCTCTCCGGCTTTACAATCTCTAATTTCAAAGATTCATATAGAAGTCACGGACAGAGGAATTAGGTCTATATATTAAACTTTCCTTATATTTCTTCCAAAGAAGAAAGAAATGGAGTGGAGGATAGGAAGGAAAAGGGCCATTCAACGCATCATTTTCTAAGGAAAAGAAGTGGGGAGTAGATGCTCAATAGTGGTTGAGTGAATGAAAGATTAACCAGTTATCTGTTCTCTTTTCATGGTCTATCCGCCCTGTCTGTCTCCTCCATTGACCTTGGAAAGACTAAATCATACTCATACAGGGCCTGGGTTTGGGGATCTGAAAGACCTGAGTTCCAGTTCTGGCTCTGTTAGTAATTTTGAGACTCACGGCAAGTTACTCAGTGCATTAGTTTCCTTTGGCTGTTGTAACAAATTACCACAAATTGGGTGACTTCAAACAACAGACATTTATTTTCTCACAGTTCTGGAGGCCACAAGCCCAACATCAAGATCTCAGCAGGGCCAGGCTCCCTCTGAAGGCTCTCAGGGAGAATCTATTCCTTTACTCTTCCAGCTTCTGGTGGCTGCCAGCACTCCTTGGCTTGTGGCTGATCATGTCAAGGTCAGCATCTTCAAATCTCCCTCTGGTCCCTCTTGCATGTGGTCAAATCTTGCTCTGCCTTTCTCCTATAAGGATACATGTGACTGTGTTTAGGGCCCACCTGGATAACCAGGATACTCTCTGCATCTTGAGTTAAGAACCTTGACTTAATCACACCTGCAAAGACTTTACCATGTACGGTAACATTGACACCTTCCTGGGATTAGGATCTCATTGTTTAGGAGCCACCATTCAGCCCAATATACTTGTCTCTTCAATTTTCAGTCTCCTTATCTGCAAAACAGAGATAAGAATGCCAAAACACATGGGATGTGGTGTTCTGAGGGTTAAATAAGAAACATAAATATGAACTCACACAAACACACACACACACAAACTCTGCATGCTCAAAAAATGGAGCTTAAAGAGGACTGTAATTTATCCCCATAAAGGTTGGTGAGCTATGAACATTTCTTAACTCTCTGCAACTCTTAAATCCTTATAGATATAACTCATTTTACATTCACTTTGATTTTGTCTCAGTACATACCCTTTCAATTTTTTTCTGGATGTTTTGCTTGTCTGTCTCCAAAATTCTAAGCTAACAATAAAATGATGTACTCCATGTTGTCCTTGTTAGAAGGAGTTCCTTGCCTGGAAGAGGAAACAAACATGTAAGATGATGGATTTTGTATTTTTGAATGAATCAGCTGTGATGGGAGAACAGAGAAAGTGGTTATTAATTCTGCCTGGATTTTCCAGAGGAGGTGGCTACTGAGCCAGACCTGCAAACCGGCCATGAGTGATCACATTTCCTTTAAGCCAAGTTCTGTTCATCTTTGCTGGTTTCACCACAAGGAAAATCTTAATCATGTTGACATCATCTTTTAAAATTTTCACCTGGGCAAAAAGCAAAAGTAACTGGATCCAGTGTGTTTCAAATATGTTTGATTGTTTCTTCATTTGTTTTCTCTTTCTCTTGTTTTGTTTTCCACAGATCACGTCTCCTGAGAGGCTGGTTTCTCCGCTCAGGACAAAAGTGGCAGACGAGGCTTCTTGCACTTTCGGTTAAATGCTGACACAGCCTGAGCAGACATGAAGTGGGAAAACAACAGTGTGTCTACCAGGAGACTGATTAATGCTGCTTATTTTGATTTTGTTCAATATGATCTGCAATGTGTCCACGTGAAGAACACGCAGGCCCAGAGAGTCAGTGGGCCTGATAATGGACGACTGCTCAAATCACCATGAACACGGGCATTTGAGCATCAAATCCGCCAGCTTCCTTCCTGGGCAAGCATTTTCCATGCTGCTCTCCATGCTGCTAGGATAAGAAAATACGGTAACTTCAGGATTATTTGACAGCTTCCTAACATTCCTCTTCCATTGACACTGCCACCATTCCGTTCGCTTTTCCTCAAAGTTCCTGAAATAATGATCCAAACACTCTTTCCCCCCAGATATCTGCTTGCATTGTAGGATCTTGCCATCCAAATTATTCTACTGACATTACCAAACTGAAATCAATCCATGCAAATCACCAAATTTAATGAAAATCCTTCATCTTTAGTATTAATCTGTCTGTCGTGTTTTGCACAGTTTCTAACCCCTACTTTGTCTCCTCACATTCCTTACTCCTCACTTCTGTTTTCCATGCTCCCAGCACTGTTCCAATTCTATTCTTTACGCTTTCACTTTTTTCCTTTTCTGTTTTTCTTCTTCCTTCTGGAACATTCCATGCGTGGTGACTTTGCTGTTCTCATTTTCTCTCTCTTTACAATCTACCCTTCATATCTAATCTGTGGTTTCAACAACCATGGCCATTTTGCTGATTTTTTTTTTTTAAATTCACTTTAGTGGAGCCTTTTTTTTTTTAAAGATTTTATTTTTTTCCTTTTTCTCCCCAAAGCCCCCTGGTACATAGTTGTATATTCTTCGTCGTGGGTCCTTCTAGTTGTGGTATGTGGGACGCTGCCTCAGCATGGTTTGATGAGCAGTGCCATGTCCATGCCCAGGATTCGAACCAATAAAACACTGGGCCACCTACAGCGGAGCGCACAAACTTAACCACTCAGCCACAGGGCCAGCGGCATGGCTGTTTTGGTTTTAAGCTTACATCTCTCAGCCATTGAAGTCCTTCGGTGAAAGGGAGGTTGACGAGAAGAGAAAAAGAGACTTTCTCTAGCTCTGGTCTTTTCCTTACACATCCAGATGCCCCCTGTACATCTCTACTTGTGTGTCCTGTTGATATCTACAACTCTGCATGCTTAAAACAAAGTGTATTATCTTGACCTTCAGATAAATTCTTTCCCTTTCTCTGTTTCTCTATGTCTAATAATATTAATGTCTATTAATGCCACAATTCATTAATCTCTTGATTAACCTGGCTTAATACCTTTCATTCATCTATAATTTTTTCTTCCACTTTCAATAAATCATAAAAATCTATAAATCTGTCTCCACATGGTCATTCATCAAATGACCAAATCAACTTTTCCAGCCTTCTTTTCTACTGCTTAAAGACAAAGCCAACATTTATCTCAAGTATTCTAATGTCAGAGTGCATACATTACTTGATTTATATATTTTTTAAACAGAGAGTGATGTTTTCACTATTCTCAATTACCAAATGTGTTTCGGAAAGTTTACGTAACTTGCCAATTGCCACACCTCTAGTAAGTGACATGGCTAGGAGGAAGGCTCAGGTCATCTAATGACAAATATCCTTCTTTTTACAATGTAAAATGATGCTTTCTAGAGATTTTCTAAGCTGCAGTCTTGCTCCTCAATATCCTCCTACAAATATTCTTCCAAATATACTCCCTACTAAAAGCCAATGCTATCATGAACCTCTTTTAGAATCATTCCCACACTCAATCATTTCCACGCGGAGTATTCTCATCCCCAAGTCCCAGGTGAATTGACAACTGCTCCGTGTAGTCCTTTCTCACCGGAAGAGCCACTTCCTGTGGAATATCTGCGGCTCTGTGTTTACACTGCTTTTCAGGCACATAAGACACAAGGCACGTGTCAGAGTTATTTGGGTTCTTAATTCCATTTCTTTTGTAGTGTTTAAGTTCAAATCTTGTATCTTCATTTCCCACAGAAAAGAAATGTCTGTTGCAGACCTTTGACCACACAGTGGGTGCATAATAAATTTTTGCAGAGTAAATCATTATTTAATGGGCTTTGGGGTTTCTTGTTTAAATTTTTTATGAAATATTTTAGACACGTGGAAAACATGAAATGGTACAGTGCATACTCTTCAACATACTCTCCAGCTTAGAAAACAAACATTACTGATCAAAGTTTCTTGTGCATACCTACCCATCCACCCATTCTCCTGTTCTGAATTTGACGTATCTTTGTCTCATTTATTCAGTTTTTACTTTTCCTATTTATTTTTTAAATGTTACAAATACACCCCCTTGTAAAAACAAAATCAGAAGGAAGCTGAATAAAGGGTGATCTCTTTCTCTAAGGCTCACTGACTCTCCTCGTTCTGCAGTTGGATTTCCCTCAGGACATGCTGGACTAATATTCCATTGAAGCATAAGGCTAATATTTATTTTTAGTCTAGAAAAACATATATGGTCAGTGTCTCATCTCCCTCGAGGAAAAACAGGAAAATTTCTGTGGCACCAGCTGTTCCATTGCTCCTGAGAAGGCTTCCCTAGTTAGACCCCTTTGTTCTGTTCCTCACTAACATATTTTTATCCGGAAATGAAGTATCTGTCATAATTTTCTCCTCAATGAGAACTTAGATGTGCCATACAATAAAACTTTTTAAAACTTTTTCTTTCTCTTTGTACTTTCAGGATTTTTTTTAAAGTCTGAAGACATTTTTATGGAATTTAACAACACTATTTACAAAATTATGGTGTATTAAGGGACTTTGTGGTATATAGAATATAATGTAACATGAGACATTTTAGATTTTGATGTTTTATTTATGTAGTTATTTTTATGTATTTCTCTATTTTAAAATATTTATGTTCATGTTAAAAGAATATTTTTAAATCATAATAATATAATGAATATCTATGAACTCATCACTCAACTTCAGAACTAAATTGTTACTAATTTAACATATCAACCTGTGTCCAATTGATTCTGTCTTTTTATGGTATTGCAAATCCATCCCTTCTTTGTATTCCTTTTGAAATTATTCCAGTTTGATCCCTTCTGTTTCATCACGATTATTGCCACATCTTAATATCTGGTTCCAATTTTGTGCTACTTGAAAATGTAGAGAAATAGAGGAGACAAGAAGATAAGAGATCAAAATATCAATTACTACAAGGAATTTGCTTTTAGTATGGCCAAGTAAATTCTTATCAGACTGACCCTACCACAGATAGCAACCACAAACGAGAGAAAATATGGAGGAAAAAAAAAAAAGACCCACTAGTGAAGGCATTAGAAGGTACACAAGAGGAGGAAAATTCCAGAAAAGAATCAACATTTGAAAGAAAGGAACAGCATGCAATGCATTTCCTATTTAAGGCTTTATTATTAGCATGGAAGCAGGCTACAATCAGTGATATGTATGGAGTGAAAAACTTTTCTAGACAAGCTTCGATTTTTTCTTTTTGCTGTCTTTTTTTGTTTTGTGAGGAAGATTAGCCCTCAGCTAACATCCGTTGCTAATCTTCCTCTTTTTGCTTGAGGAAGACCATTGCTGAGCTAGTATCTGTACCAATCTTTCTCCATGTTATGTGGGATGCTGCCACAGCCTGGCTTGACGAGTAGTGCTAAGCGAGTGCCCGGGATCTGAACATGCGAACCCTGAGCTGCCACTGCAGAACATGCGAACTTAACCACTAAGCCACCGGATGGGCCCCTCAGTTTCAATCTTTTTAATCTGAAAAACCAGAAGATAGAGTTCAGGTCTCAACAATTACTATGAGTGAGGTAGGAATATCAGTAAGGAGCAAACCAGAGACAGGGAGCCTCACATTTGGTTTATAAACTCTAGCAACATTTGTGGGTGAACTCTGAATGAGGCATACATGAAGAAGTCTCAAAGCAGCCCAGCTCAGGTAAAAGAACTGAAATGAGATTTGAACTGCTCCTTAACTAAATGCCACGTCATTTGCATTTGAATTTAACAAAGAGAATTCCCGGCTTGAACAAAGCAAACGAACTCAACACTCTTGAAAATCATAATAGAACTCAATACCCAGATATGATCCAAAATTATTTGACATACTAAAAACCGGGCAAATGGAAAGCCATTCTCAAAGGAAAAGACAATTAACAGAAACAACTCCCAAATGATCCAGATGCTGGAATGAGCGTTCAAACGTTTTACAGCAGCTATTAAAATTATGCTCAATGAGCTAAAAGAAAAATAGTGTTACAGTGAATAAAAAGAGAAAGAATCAGTAAAGAAACAGAACTATAAAAAGAAGCAAGTGGAAAATCTAGATCTTAAAAATCATCTCTCGGTCATTAGAACTTCATGGGATAGGCAGAACGGAGTCAAAGAGGAAAGATAAAGTGAGCTGGAGGTTGAGTTCATTGAAACTATCAAATCTGAAGATGGCAGAGAAAAGAGATTGAAAAAAAAGTTGACAGATCCTCACAGACCTTTGGGAAAATATAAGGATCTAACATACATGTCTAATTGGAGTTCGAGAAGGAGAGAAGAGAGAGAATGGTGCAGAAATTATTTAAAAATGTAGAAGCCCAAAGTTTCCCATATTTGGTGAAAGTAAAACATCTAGAGATTTAAGGAGTTCAGTAAACACCAAGCAAGATAAAGATAAACTGTGCCTAGTCACATCATATTAAATTGCTAAAAAACAATGATAAAGAAAATATCTTGAAAGAAGCCAGAGAAAAATGACACAATACATACAAAGAGCTTTTCAAAAGAACATTGACTTTGCACAAAAACTACAATACTGACATAGTGTGGAGTATATCTTTATAGTGCTGAAAGAAGAAACTTATCAACTCAAAATTCTATATTAAGCAAATGTATCTTTCACTAATAAAGTTGACAGTAAAACATTTTTAGATAAAATAAAACTAAGTGAAATTTTCACATGGAAAATATGCGAAGGAAATTCTTTGGGCTGAAAGGAAATGATACCAAAATGAATACCAACCAAAATGGTAAAATTATGGATAAATATAAAAGAGTATATTTTTCTTTTAATTTCTTTAAAGCATTTCTTTAAATGCCTCTTCAGAAGCAACAATTATAACATTGTTATGTGAAGCTTACATAGTACATATTTTAATACATATGACAAGTATATCATAAAAGATATGGGGATACTGGGCTTATACTGTTGCAAGATTTCTAGATTTAACCTGAAGTGGCATAATGTTAAGTCTAAGTAGACTCTGGAAAACAAAGGATTAAACTTCAAAAGATAATGCAAAGGAGTATAACTGAAGAGCAAATAGATAGATTAATGTAGGATTCTAAAAATATTCAAATAATTTAAAAAGTAAAATCAGTAAAAGAACAGGATTCCAAGCAATAGAGAAACAGAAAACAACTAATAAAACGGTGGACCTATAGCCAACCATGCAAAAATTACATTAATTGCAATGGCCAAAGCACTACAATTAAAAGACAGAAATTGTCATAACTATATGCTCCCTATAAAAATGCACTTTAAACACAGACAGTTGAAAAGTAAATGGATGGCAAAAAATGTAGCATGCAAACAGCCTAAGAAGGCTGAAGTGGCCATATTAATATCAGACAAAACAGACTTCAAAAAATATTCCCAGAGATAAAAAGGGACACTTCATAATAATAAAAATGCTTAATTCTTCAGGAACATATAATAATCATAAATATGTGGGAATTTAGTAACAGAGCTCCAAAAGAATATGACACAGAATTTGACAGAATTTTACAGAGAAATAGAAAATTTCGTAAGAGATTTTAACTCCCGTCTCAACAATTGATAGAACCAATAGACAATATCAGAAAAAAACATAGATAATCTAGACAATGCTATCAACTGCCTTACCTTTGGTATTTATAAAACATCACACCAACAATTGCAGGATATGCATTCTTTTTTAAGTGTGCATAAGTTTATGACGATAGACCATATGCTGAACGATAAAACATGCTTCATTAATTTAAAATAACTGGTCACGCATTCTCACACAATCCCTTACCAAGATAGAATTAAATTAGAAATACACAATAATAAACTATTTGGGAAAACAGAATATTTGTAAGTTAAACAATATAAATGGGTCATAGAAGAAATCACAAAGGAAAGTAGAAAATGTTTCTAATTAAAGAAAATGCACATACATTTCAACAATTCTGGAATGCTGCTAGCTGGATAGAGGGAGACAGAGAGCTTTATATGCTTATATTTGGAAAAAAGAAAAGAAAAAGAAAGAAAAGACTATCATTGACCAAAGAATCGACCTTAACTGGCCAACAAAAGAATTACAAGTAAAGTAAAGGTAAGAAAAAGTAAGGAAATAATAATAACCATAACGATGATAGCAAAAACCCAGTGAAATAGAAAAGAGACAAAAATTGAGAATATAATCAAAGCAAATGCTTGTTTCTATAAAAAAAAGAATCTAGAAAATTGATCACCCCCTAACCAGACCGACTGAGGAAAAAAAGGGAAAGAACACAAACTAATAATATTACAAATGAAAGAGGAGTTGTTAACCACAGCTCCTATAGGGATCAAAATGATAAGACAACATCATAAACAACTTCATGCCAAAAAATTTCACAACTTAGAAGAAATGAACAAATTTCTCAAAGAATACCATTTATCAAAACTGACATATGATAAAAAAAGAAAGTCTGAATATCTCTGCATCTATTAAATAAATTGAAGTCATTATCATAAACCTTTACGCAAATAAAATTTCAGGCTGAGATGGTTTCACTAGTGAATTCGATCAAATATTTGAGAAAGAAATTAATCTTATGCAGAAAATAGAGGCAGAGGGAGTGTTTTCCAAATCATTTTATGAAGTTAGTGTAATACACCAAAACCCAACAGACATTACAGATATCCATTAAAATATCCCTCATAAACGTAGAAGTATAGAACTTATATGTAAAAAGGATTAGACCTCATGACAAAAGAACATTTTCTCAATAACACAAGGTGGCATCAATCAATGTAAGATGCCATGCCAATGGAACAGAAAATTAAAACAATACAGTTATGTCAATTGATGCAGAAAAATCATGTGACAAAATTCAACACTCAGTCATGCTAAATACTCTCAGCGAAGAATACAAGGGAATTTTCTCCATCTGAAAAAAGCTGCTATGAAAAAGCTACAGCTAGCATCATGCTTAATGACGAAATATTGAATGTTTCCTCTTAAATTTGGGGACAAAGCAAGGATGCACACTCCCACTCTCTCTTTAACATTGTAATGGAATCTAGCCAGTAAAATAAGGAAAGGAAAGAAACAAAGAACACAGCAAAGTGTGTAAATATCATAAAGGAAGAAGGCAAATTGTCTCTATAGGCAGATGACTCCCAAGGCATCTATAAAGTAACTTTTTAACAAGTGATGCCGGAATAATTGGATATAAATGTGGAGAAAAATGAACTTTGACCGCCTACTTTCTACCACATATAAAAGTAATTAGAGATGGAATAGTGACCTGAATGTAAAAGTTGAAACTAAAGATTTTAGAAGAAAACATAGCAGAATATCTTCATGACTTCAGGGTAGGCAAATATTTCTTGGATCACAAAAAGCAATGAGAAACATCGATGACTTAGGTTTCATTAAATAAAAAAAAACTTCTTATCAAAGAACTCATTAAGAAAATTAATAGGCCAGACATAGATCTGGAGAGAACATTCACAAAACATCTCTGACAAAGTACTTGTATCCAATGTATACAACTCCTTAACCTAGTAAGAAAAATACAAACAATCCCATAAAATATGGGCAAAAGTTTGAACAGCCATTCACAAATGAAGTATACAAATGGCCAATAAACCCATAAAAAATGTTCAACACAATTAGTCATTAGATATATTCAAATTAAAACCACAATGACATTATACTAGTCAACAGAATAGCTAAAAATACAAAGATGGATAATATTAATTGCTGCTGAGGGTATGGAGTAACTGGAATTTTCATATATTTTTGGTGGGAAAGTAAAATGGTACAACTAGTTGGGATAAAGGTCTGGTATTTTCTTATAAAAATAAGCATGCACTCACTCAGCAGTTCTAATCCTCTACAGTTACTCAAAAGAAATGAAAATGTATGTTCACCAAAAGATTTTTGCAAGATTGGTCATAGCATATTTATCTTAATAGCCCTGAATTGGAAACTGCTTGGTGTCCGTCAGTGGGAGGATGGATAAAATGTGGTATATTCATACAATGAAATACTCCTCAGCCATAGCAAAAGAATGAACTACTAATATATGGAGCTAACAGATCAGTCTCAAAAACATTATTCTGAGTGAAAGAAACTTTACGTAAAGCAGTCTGTACTGTATGCATGATTCCATTTATATAAAGTTCCAGAATGGGCAGTACTAATCTACAGCAGGAAAACAATCAGAACAGAAGTTGCCTTTGAGGCACAAGGGTAAGAATTTACTGGGAACTGGCGTGAGATGACTTTCTGGGGTGATGCTAATGTTTTACACCTTAACAGGAGTTTGGGCTAGCTGGGTGTACACATGTGTCAAAACTCAACCTATGTGTACTTAAAATTTGTGCATTTCACAGAATGTTTAGTTTATATCAAAACAAAAATGAACTGTGATGATGTGCATGCTGAGAAGAACTTAGGGGAAAGTTACGTGTTGTCTTCTTTTGAGATATTACGTTGGAGTGCCTCAAAAACCACGAGGGGTCAATCGGTGGATAGAGAGATGAGTAAATGGATAGTGTGTGCCAAAACATGTTTAGTAAAATATTAATGGTATATGGGTATTTGCTAGAAAATTTTTTTAACTTTGCTGGGTTTGAAATTTTTCCTAGTAAAATGTTGAAAAAGAAATAAAATACAAGTAAAATTAGAAACAAGAACGATACCTGAAATACAAAATTAAGAATGATAATAGGGGCGGGCCCTATGCCCAAGTGGTTAAGTTCTTGAGCTCCCCTTCGGTGGCCCAGTGTTTCATCAGTTCAGATCCTGGGCACGGACATGGCACCGCTCATCAGGCCATGCTGAGGCAGCCCACATAGCACAGCTAGAAGGATCTACAACTAGAATCTACAGCTATGTGCTGGGGGGCTTGGGGGAGAAAGGGAAAAAAAAAAAAGATTGGCAGCAGATGTTAGCTCAGGTGCCAATCTTTAAAAAAAAAAAGAATGATAATAAATCAGCTGATATCAATGTTGGAGAACAAGACTTGAGCGTGTTCGCCAAGTGGGATCGCTGATAGTAAATCCAGATCTAGAGACTACTTCAACCAATCAAGCTTCTCGGGACCACCAGGGGCTTCTTCCTGGGCAGAGTTGACCATATGACTGAGAGACAGCCAGGCATCTCCTAAACGAAAAGAGAAGGCGGGAGCTGAGTCGCATGTTCACTGTTTTTTAAACTAAGGTCAGATGCTCCTCCTCTCCTGCAAGGGGGTGAAAAGATGCCAGGAGATTGCTCAATTCATCTTTCTCTACATCAAAGGAAATAGCAGGAGGGAGGAACAGGTTTCCAGAAAAACACTGAAGGCTTCTGGTTATTGAAAGGGAGCTTATCCTCTTAAGGAAACCAAGTTTTTAAACGATTGGCTTCATGTTGCATTCCTGAGTGGCCTGTGTCCACCCCAAGTTAACCATTAATTTTGAATAGATGGTAGGAAATCTTGAATAAAATCAAACAGACATTCGTGCAATGTAATATTTACATTCAGATATTCAGTGAATGCTATATGGATTGGGAAGCCAGGAGAATAAATTCTTGTGACAGAATAATTATCTCCAAATTAAGCCTGATGGAAGGCTTATCATCAGGTGGTGGAAGGTGTGAAATGATTCAAGAGCAAGGAGAAAGAAACAGCAGAATATCACACTAGAAAAGGTAGAGATTTAGAATAAATATTGAGAGATCAATACAAAAAGGATAAAACAAAATATTGCTGGATCAGGTGACTAAGTGGTCCTCAGTGGCTTGTAGTTGGTACCAGAAAGGAGGGAGTAAAAAAAAGGTGACTGGTAGTGTCATAGTCCGTTTGAGCTGCTATAACAATATATCACAGATGCAGAAACTTATAAACAGGGAAATTTAATTCTCACCCTTCTGGAGGCAGGAAGTTCAAATTCAAGTTGCCAGCACGGTCGGATGAGGGCTCTCCTCCTGGTTCATAGCTGGTGCCTTCTCGCTGTGTCCTCACATGGTGGAAGGGGCCAGGGATCTTCCTGGAGCCTTTCCTGTAGCCAATCATCTCATTCATGAGGACTCCACCTTCATGACTTAAGCACCTCTCAAAGGCCCCACCTTCCAATACCATCACCTTTAAGGGTTAGGATTTCAACATCTGGATTTGTAGCAAGACGCATTCAGACCACAGTTGGTGGACACCTTGGGGGAGGCAGATGTTGATTGCATGGAAGTCTGTCTCAAAAAGAAGGCTAGGCTAATCACCAAAATCTCTAACTCTATCACCCAAAAACCTCCTAATGAATAGTGAGGGAACACAGCTTTTACAAGGAAAATAATCCCCTGTCATTACGAAGAAGTATCCTATATATAAATATCGTACCCAGGGCACCGTATAGTACTCAGTCTACCCAAAGCAATCCTTTTGTGAATGGAAATCTCAGGGACTCATATGTGACTCATTAGACTGCACATGTCTCAGAATAGGGGGGACGTGTCCCTCACTGCTTCAGCAAGTTGTGTTCAAAGGCAGAGCAGCCCACGACTAATCTCTGTTTGCCATAGCTGCCAAAACATATTTCAACATAGAAAGGAGGCAGTCAGCTGAATTATAAGTGAATCCCTTTCTTGGAAAATGACACCTCAGCACAGCCTGCCAAGAGAGCGGCAGAAATACTAAGTCACGCCAAGGAAGGAGGGCTGAAGAACAGGAGGGCCGTCTTGCGAGTCCTGTGTGAGGCGGGAGGGTTTTGGCAGTCACTTAGTTAACCTGAGTTTACCTGGGGATTTTTAATCAGCACCATTATGCCTAAGCAATAAAGTACAGACCTTCAGGCTGGGATATACATACACACGCTTTGGGGGGAAGGGTAAAGTCTGTGTTAATAAAGAACAAAAATGGAGCCAAAGAAGAATTCTGGAAAACTGAATTCAACAAGCCTTTATTGGAAGGTTACCATATGCAATTGCTGTGGGTGATCAAGAAGACGTGGTCCCGCCTTCTAGCCATTTATCATTTAATCGTGATGTTGGGGCCCCAACATAGGTCACACCCTCTTCAGTTAAGGTGTTGTTTAATCACTTAGGCAGATAATATCTGACACAGGACATGGACACAGAGGTAGAGTTAGGAGGGCAAAGGCTTGTTGAGGAGAAACACTAGTGAAAGAAAAGGAACTGGAACAGGTTTGGGCAGGAGGAGCCATACTACACCCATGCAGACTGCCAAAGCCTCTGCCAGCCCAAAGGGGGTGCTCTGGGGCAAAGCTTTCCCACTAGATGTGACCTGCCTTGGATAGAAACAGTTAGGGCCTTGCTCACTTAGGGTCTGGAGGGAGCCCTGGGCATGACTTGCGTGGATCCTGAAGGAACAAACAGTTGGAAGTCATCAGTTAACCTTGGTCCTTACAAAGAGGCAATCTTGAAGGGGGATCTGAGAGGCATATCTCTGTGAATGCGTCATCCCAGAACACGAACAAGGACAGTCTGCATCAGCTTCTACAGAGCCTGATGAGAGAGAGTAGGCTACCACAGGGCTGACTTCGACTGTTCACCCCGGACACCAAAGGAGACTATGACTTGTCCCCAGGAATCATAAATGAACATGAACTAGAAGATTCTGGAAGTTCTTCACAGATAGAACACTGGTTCACCACCACTGAGAAGGTAGATGTGCCTAAGGACCATCACTCAGCATCCCCAAGTCTGAGCAGGAAGGGACAGGCTAATTCTTCACCCTGAGTATAGCTGGGCTTTGTGGATTAAGGCATAGGATTCTAGGGACCAGGGCCTTATGGTTATAAAATGTGTAGGACTCACTCTCACCCACTTTGTGAATAATCTTCTCGGTGCCTCTTCTCAGTAGTAGAGGCTGCAAATGTAATGTTGTCTCTGGAAGACATGGAGCTCTGGTGGCTCGGGGGGAGACAAGGATCCCAGCCCGCAATACTAAAAGAGTTCCCGTACTTCTCAGGTAATATTCCAGGAACGATCACCGCCAGGAGACCCTAGGGCCAGGATGATGGACTCTGTTGCGTAAACTCAGAGAAGCAATTCTCTCCTTGGAAAAACGCATTAATCCAGGTGTGCAGAATGCCTGACGATTATTTCCTTTTGTTATCTCCTGTGTTTAAACAAATTCTTATTTAGTTCTATGATTACTACAAAAGTGCAACGATAAGAATGCAAGGTCAAAAGAGTACATGCACCATTGATCCATAATATACAACAATATGTATGAAGACTAATAAGATCCCTTTGAAATGTCATCTCTGAAGACGGGACTGATGGAAAATCAGAAAACGGGGTGTTTGGGGTTGAAATAGCTAAAATATCATATTTTATCACTATTTTCTTTCCACAATGGCTAGGCAAATTCTTCCCCTTTATATTTATTTTTGGAATTATTAGACAAGAGAAATAGGCATTGAATATCATGCCTGTTCTATTGACTTTGAGAAACGACCACAAAAAATCATCTAGGTTCCAACAGTCATGGGGACTTTCTGAAAGGTAAACATTTTTCTATTCCACACCCTTCAAAAAGATTTCATATCTTGATGATGGAACTCTGTTCTTAGAAACAACTGCCTGTTGGTTTGGGTCACAATAAAATCTTCTCCCTCCTATGCCTGTATCTTTCCTCACCTTCTTCTAGTTCTGCTTTCTCATCTTCTACTTCTTGTCTGTTTCTTTCACTGTCACTGAGCGTCTTCTATATACACCACATGAAATGTTTAATTCTCTTGGAGAACTTGGAATTCAATAATAGTATCCTCCCTTGAGGGATGAAGACACGAGGCTCAGAAAGTCAGAGAGGTATACCCACATTTGTTTTCACTACATCATCCTCTGTTTTATGTGCCTTTCCTATTTCTCTCCAGTTATAAAAATAGAACTACTAAGTAAATTTTAAAGTCTCCCTCGGACAATTTATTTAAATATTATCCTAACATAGTTTTTTTTGTTTTAACTGACCATGGCCATTAGCGATATGACTGGTGAGTAGCAAAAAAATCAAAATTAAAGGAGGAAAAAATAGAAGAAAAGAGGAATGAATTGGTATGAAATGAAGGATGTACTCAAAGTAATTAAAAGCTGGTCCATGCATGTTGCTAAATGAAAGAAATCAGTCTGAAAACGCTGCATGGTGCATGGTTCCAACTCTATGACATTCTGGAAAAATGAAAAGTGTCTAGACAGTAAAAATAACCAGTGGTTGCCAGGGATTGGGGCAGGAGGATGATAGGTAGAATACAGGGCTTTTAGGGCAGTGAATATTCTGTATGATACTGTAATGGGGAATACAGGACATTATGCATTTGGCAAGACGCATAGAGCTGCAGAACACAAAGAGTGAACCCTAATGCAAGTACAGGCTTCAGTTAACAATGATGCACCAATATTGGTTCATCAGTTGTAACAAACGTACCATACCAATACAAAATGTTAATAACAGGGGAGATGGAGGGAGGATATACGAGCACTATACTTTCTGCTCCACTTTTCTGTAAAACTAAAATTGCTCTAGAAAATAAAATCTATTATTTTTTTAAAAAAAGAGAACTTTAAAAAAATAGATGATACAAGAGGAAGATTGGTCAATGTCCAGATGTCAAAATATACGCCTGTTTTAGGACATACTTTAAAGTTGTTAGATAGGCTGCCTGCTAAATATCTAAGTCCCGGAGAATAATGCCGAGTGGCTTTAAGTCATGAACAAAGAACAAAGAGAAACAATTCTAATATAAATTTCCATTTTTCTCTATTCACTGCAGACAGCATGCTCATGCCTCTAAGTCGTGGACAGATGGCTCAGTGACAGGCGGTGGGTATTCATATGTGCAGGACTGAATCTCATTACACTCTAACAAGAAGATGATAATAGAGACAATCAAAACCAAGTCTGGCTAATTATATGCAAGAGGCACTGATTATTTTTTTTGTAATTCAGGGCGGGGACATTTTCATGCAATCTGAGAAATCTGATGATGAATGTTACTTTCATTATCTTTTATTTCCTTTGTCCCTTGAAAATCTAAGTAAACCAAAGCAATTTAAAAACTAATTTCCAATTACATATCTGTTATTTTTATTATTGTGTTTTCCCTCAATATTAAATAGGAGAGACCATCTCTTTTTCTTGCTTATTTTTATTATTACCTTGCTGGAAGTCTTTTAAAATGTCTTTTGTAAGCCACTTCCTACCCATAAAGATAAGCACAATCAATCAAGAAAAGAGTCTCAGCGTAATACACCAGTTTCATCATCAACAAACTCACCAAATTTCAATATATAGGCTTCTATTTCAGTTTACAAGGTAAAGTACATGGTCTGGACCACACTTACTTAAAAATGCATTGGAAAAGCTAGCAAACTCATATATTTTGTGGAACTTATTTAACTAAGAATATGCATCCATGCAAGACTGTTTGGGGAGTAGAAGTAGTGAAATGTTTTTTTTTTTCAAAATTATTAACAACTTTAAAAATCCATGTCTATTTTTAAATGATCACTTTGTGGCCTGTGAACATCCTGAGACACGTAGGATTTCAAGAAACTCTTTCATCCAGAAAAAGGAACAAGCTTAGTAGCCCAAAAATGCTAACGCTCTGAGTGCTGCGAATCTATGTGAAAGAAATTGAGTTAATAAACCACAGGGGAGGTAGAGGGATCTTGAATGTTTCTCAGGGTAAATGAGAGCCCCAGCAGGACAGAAGGGGTTGATAGAATAAGTGAGCCTGGGTGGACATTGAAATCAGAAAATATTGTTGAGCATCTGTTAAACACAATGTGTTGAGGTGGGGTGGGGGTAGGATGGGGGTTACTTAACACAAGAAGACCGACTAATTAGGAAAGTCTCTTGAGAAAAACTCACAGAAATTCCTGGTAACAGGATAGAAGCATTATTTTCAATGCATAGCTCAGGTGCCAAGAAAGAAGGAAAATCACCACATATGGCAGAAATAAACCACAGGGGAAACAATGTGAGTAGATGTACAGCTTTCCTAGGAGGTGTAACAGAGGGACAGTGACCAGAGTAGGGGACTGGGCTGTCATTTCTTAGTAGAACCAAAAATAAAGGCCTTTAGCCTGCATGAAGCAAGTGATGATTAGGAAGGCATCTGCACCCTTGAGGAAAATAACGCACCTAAGAAATTCATTCACCCACATGAGAAGACAAGAAGCAACCTTGTCTACCCTTTGTTGGCTCTAGAGGAAAAAATGCTTCTAAACTCCATCCCTGTCCACTAAGGTGGTTTGGAATAGGAAAGTACAAATATTTGTGATCCAGGAACACAGAATACCAGAATTTCACATTAAAAACAAACAGGTTTCCTAGGCCTGTCGAGATACTACTGGGCACTTGGCAAAAGAAAAGACAAAACTGCCTTAGATCCATGCCATCGGGATTCCCAGATAGAATTCTTCTTAATTTAGGTTCCCAATCCAAAATTATAAATAGTGCAAGTAAACAAGCCTCCGTAAGCAAGAGA